GAGATCACCTACTTGGCTGGCCATCTACTCCGCCAGTGGGTTCTACAGAAACTAAAGCAAAACAAGACTGAAGTACACATGAAAGAATTAGATAAACGATACCACTAAGGTAGATAATTTTGGTGACTCCAATTAAAGCAAAGAAATAATGAAATCTTCAAGCCACCTGACTAGCAAAATATACTTCAAAACGGTATAAACTAATTAATCTAAAAAAAAAGAAATCTGAAAAACTGATAATCAAGACAACACTGGGGTGCAAGTATTCTAAAAACATGTAAACTCTTAATTAACAGATCAATTTGACTGGAGAAAGGTCAGCACTGGCTTTAGCCAGAAACACTCATGCAACAACTTGGTGCCTCCCGTGAGCGAGACACTCTGCTACTCGACTCATTTCCTGCCCTGAAAGAACTCGTTATCAAGGGGAAGAAAGAGATACAGACGGACTACAGCAATTCAAAAATACAATGTAGTAGGTGCAATGATAGACAAATGTACACAATCTTACAGGAGTACAAAGGTCTTTGAGGGTCGGTGGGTAGGAGGGAGCAAAGTTTCAGAAAGGCTTCCAGGAGCTGATGCCTGATCTGGGCCGAAATTCACCAGTAATAGTAGTAAGAGATTCCTGATACACCAGACAGATAAACAAAGGCACTGAGGCAAGAAACAGCATGCATTCGGAGCCACCCTTGGATACAGAGGCAACAGGCTTCCCTTGAGCCTTGTGGTGGGACAATGGGGTACAGATAGTTCAGTACAGAATTACACATCTTCAATCATATGCCCTCTAGGTTGTAAAAGGGAACCACACACTGGCTTAGAAGGCTTACTTTTAAGGACATCTGAAGGATGTAGTGTGGCAGTATAGAAAGTTCTGGAGTCAGCCTAAATTTTAAATCTCAATCACCATTTATTAGGTACATGACAATGGATAAGTTACATTTTAAGCCTCAACTAACTCACTGTTAATGGGAATGAATTTCATATACTGAGAGTTATTACAAGGATATCAAGATGTATGTAGGGGCAGGCCTGGTGGCGTAGTGGTTAAACTTGCATGCTCCACTTCAGCAGCCTAGGGTTCACGGGTTCAGATCCCAGGTGCAGACCTACACACCGCTCATCAAGCCATGCTGTGGCGGCATGCTATATACAAAAAACAGAGGAAGACTGGCACAGATGTTAGCTCACGGACAATCTTCCTCAACCAAAAAGAAGAAGATGGGCAACAGATGTCCGTTAAGGGCCAACCTTCCTCACCAAAATAAAAAAAAACCACCAAAAAAACAAAACCAAGATGTATGTAAATCACTTGTGCCTGGCATTTAGTAGGCATTCAATGCATGGAAGTTCCATTACCCATTCCCATGATTAGTTCCAAATGGAGTTTTCCTTCCCTTTTCACGTCACTACAGACTGGATTTCATTTGCTGGGTTCCACAGTTCACTGCCCAATCTATGTAACTGTCATACATTTTTTGAGCATCTCTTCTTTGAGTGCTGTGCTAGGCACTGGCACCTTGTCCCTCCCTCCCTCGACTCTCATATCCATCTCCTAATTTCCTTTTCATTCTCTGGTTTTAAATAGTAATTGTCTTTCTTTTCTTCTCTCATCCTACTCATGGAAAATGTTTTTTCTTGTCAATTATGTCCTACTGAACATACTTTTCAGGGGCTACCAGTAGGCCCTACGAACATCAGCACTAATCCAAGGCCCTTTCCTTTCTAAGGTGGTAAAAACCCTGCAGGGTCACAATCAGTTACATTTATTGCATACATAAATATCCTACAAATGAGTCTTTGTATATATTTGGTATCCTAGTGACATTTGACGCTGCCAATAAGTAATTCATCTGCCCAGAGGGAAGGCTCTCCTTAGAGGTGTGGCATTTGGCTCCATGAAGTCACTATTCTTTAGCTTTTCCAGACAGCCAAGATGAGATACTAGCATAGCCAGTGACTTTCTGCTATTGAACCAGTTGATATTTTAATGATTAACTGATAAATGTTTGGAGGACTTAATTTGAATACTGAATAAAACATAAAAATTACTGGATTTGGCTTCTCTTTTGAGGAGAAGAAATGTTCAAAATTCCCAGAAATGTTCACAATTAAAACAAATGGAAAGAGAAAACGCTGCTCCAGCGCTGAACACTGGTTCAAACAGCATTTATTAAGCACTTATATATGTCATATATTGTGCCAGATGCATATATATATCCTCATCTGTCCAACAGAAATGATTACCTCGCAAGGCCATTATATATTTTCTTTAATCCTCTGAACAGCCTTGAGACGTAATCATTTCTATTGGACAGATAAGGACATGAAGATTCAGAAAGGTGAAGAAGTGACTTGTCTGTAACAAAATGCTATTAGTCATAGAACGACAATCTGAACCCAGTGTTTTCCACTGAACCACAGATACATCTATTCAAACAGCCATATCACCAATAATAGTAATATTATAATGATAGTCATTGCTAACATTTACCCAGTTCTTAAGTGGCAAGTACTGTGCTAAGCAATTTATGAATATCATCTCATTTAATCCTCACAATCACCCTATGAGGTAGGTTTATCAAGATCTCCGTTTCACAGTTGAGGAAACTGAGTTTTATACAAGTTCAGTAGTTGCTTTGTTCCCATAGCTGGTAGGGAGTAGGGCTCGAGTTGAACCTAGTTCTAATTCTAGAACCCATTCTCTTAATCACTATACTAGACTGCAAGAAACTCAACTCTAGTCCTGGCTCCAACCAGGCGAGCCACTTAATAGTACTGTCTTGATTTCCTTGTTAATTAAATGGGGATCTTGTTACTTGTTCCTACCTACTTCACAGAGATATTGGGATTATAAAATGAGAAAGTGTAAGCTTTAAGAAGGGAAATTGCTATATAAATCTAGGCACTGTCACAAGTTTCACTCAGATCTTCCCTCTGCCACGATCATAAAGGGATTTAGCTGACATCATTAGCTCTCAAATATTCTCTGAAGTGGGTAGTGAGTATTATTATCTCTACTTATCAAAAAGCTGAAGCACAAGGAGATGATGAAATTTGCTAGTCAGTGGCAGAGCTGGGAATAAAACGCAAGATTCTAACTCCCACTGCTTATATTCTTATGGTAAATCCTATTTCTGCCTTTCAAACTTAATTATAAAATAGACTAGGGTAGAAATATTAGTGTCCACTTTACAATATAGATTAAATACTTAGAGAAATTAAATTTTCTACTGTAGTGATACTGATATAATCTCCAAGGCTCTTAATCCTCGCATTCTAGAGAAATGGATAAAGGATCAAAAAGAAAAATTTTTTATTTCCTTAGTACAGATTTCAGTTCTTTAGTTTTCTCAAATAACTTATTATTAATCAAAGGTTACAAAACTGGGTGAATCATTACCTAGTTTCACCTAGTGAGTCTATAAGCTTCCATAGGGAATATAAAACCTCAATATTAAATCATTCCCTCATAAAACCTGAAAAAAAGCATCAAATACATTCTCACATCATAAACACCTAATATAACTATATAATTTGACTTGGAAATTATTCTAACACACCAGCCCACAATACCCTGAGCTCAAAATTCAAGTTCCAAAACAAATTGCATAATTAAAACAATAACAAAATACACATGGCACCTTTATGATCATTCTTTCATATAGAAATCAAAATAAGTTTTGTGCTTCCCATGTAAGCCCCACCACAGACACACGCAAACTTTCAAGTAAAATAAAAAGTAGTAATGGGGTCAATTCTCTGGCTTAAATAGGGGACAAGTGTTCAGTCTAGTTCCCAGATTATTAGCTCTTCTTAATTCTTGTTTTCTAGAACACCACCACAATGTTTCAATTATTACTAGTTTGATAATCACATATTTTGAAATCACCACAGGGACCAGAAAGGAACTAAGAGAAAGAAATTTCCATTCTCAAAATTGAACTAAATACCAGAGTCCACAGGCACTTCATTATTACTCTCTCTCCGACTGAATTAGACTTATAAATGAAAAACCTGTCATTTTGTTACAGGGACACAAACTAAGCCACAGGAACCCAAAGAGCTGTTCTGCTAATGTCAAGAGAGTTGCTTCTTGAGCAGCTTGAGAAGTCTAAATTCACTCCTAGCTACATAGTAAAAGCCCTACCGCCTTAACATGTGCTATGAGGTGAAAGTAGACAAGGACACAGGACTCCCAGTTTTTCAGAGGTTGTTTTAATACATTAATCCATCTTTCCTTTGAGAAAAATCTTTGTCTTGGTTTCTATAATTGAAAACAATCATATCTCCTGTTGGGTCAGGAACTCTAAGGTCTCTCCAACTTTAATGTGAGTATGAATCACCTGGGGATCTTGTTAAAATGCAGTTGATTCAGAAGGTCTGGGACTGCATGTCCAACAAGCTCCCAGGGGATTTCAATGCTACTGCTTGATGGACCACACTTTGAGTAGCAGGACTCTAAGGAATGTTTCCAAATAGAACCTCAATCAGATGTTTATTCTCAAAATACACAGCCTCCACCAAGAGTCTGTAAAGGAAGATAATATTCCAGAGCCTAAACAAGGTATCTGCTTCCTCTCCCCTTTTTTGTGATTTTTACCAGCTGGTTGTAAACCCAGTGTAATATCTTAATAAAGGGCAACTTTTAAGAATGCCTTTTGTGCTGACAATTTATTGGGGCTTGACTTGATTGGGGCTAACATGGATGAACATAAAACCTCAAGCCTTTTGTAATAAAAGGGTTGATGCAAAATAGATTTTTTGTTTTTTTCTGCTGAGGAAGATTAGCCCTGAGCTAACATCTGTGCCAATCTTCCTCTATTTTGTATGTGGGTTGCCATCACAGCACGGCCACCAATAAGTGGTGTAGGTCTGCACCTGGGAACTGAACCCGGGCCACCTAAGCGGAGCATGCCGACCAAACTTAACCACTAGGCCATGGGGCTGGCCCCCCAAATAAATATTTTTTAATTATGTCAAATACTAATGATGTGATGTTTACAAATAGTTTATAAGAGAATGATTTAGGATTAATAATTTTCATTTCTCCCACAAAATAAATAGCTCATGTACTAAAGAAGACATCTTTCCTTAAGTAGGAGTTAAAAAGCCCAACAAAAATAAAGTCATGCCCACGGCATAGTCATAATATTATTTTTAGCGAGGAACATACCAAGATTAAGATATACAAAAGTATATGAGAATTACATGGTATTAAATTTATCCTAGAACCTGGGGGAGGGGAAAGAGAACAGCTGGTAAATTTAAGAAAAATTTTAACTGGAAAAGATTACATGAGAGCAATAGTCCACTCCCCTTAAGAAAACCAAAGAACCCCCACAAACTTTCATTTTTAGGTTTCCAACAATGTGCTCTTTTCATATGATCATTAGTCCAAGCCCCCCTGCAAAATCCAACCAACCATCATAAAAATTAAGTTGGCAAGAGGGCCAGCTAGTTAACTCTACGTTTCCCCTTAGATGAGTTTCAAGCCCAGGAGGGTAAAATGTGTGGTGGAAGGAGCAAGAGTAAAAGGAGAACTGCTTCTTTTTACACAGAAGGAAGCCCCCCTGTTGAGCATCTTTCTGCACTTTGCAGGGTAAGGTGTCTCACTGCTTGTGTGCACGCTTCAGCCCCATAACTGTGAAGGTAGCAGCCGTCAGTTTCTCATAAACAAGGAACATGAGAGCAGCAGTGAGGACTGTCTGCAGCAGTTTGGCTTCAAGGCCTTTGTAGAGTCCCATTATTCCAAAACGCCTAAAAGGAAAGAGGTTTGAAAAATATAAAAGGTTTTCTTTATAAAAGTCAACCCCCGCATCAAAGAAACATGCTACTCTGACAGCTACTTTGCAAAGGTTTATCCTTAGGATCAAAACAAGCAATGGAAGTTTTAGATATTAACAGACTTCTGTTGTCAAATTACTTCTTATCTCTAAAGGTATTTGGGGACTGACTACAGTTTAGTACTCATAAGCCACCAATAGTGTCTCTTTATAATCACTATTAATTAGCAGAATGCTGACAATATCCCACAGATAGGATGCAGAGCCTAAAATCTCCTAAAACCATCTTAATGCTAAAATTTGAAATCTAATAACTTTTAGATCTTTACTTTAATGCTCTCCCAACTCATTATTTCAACTTAATAGTCTCTAAATGGTAGGAAAGCTGCCATTTGGTTTAGGTCATTTTAGCCTCAACAGAATTAGAGAAAGTGATAGAAATGAAAAGCTACCCGATTCTCAGTCTTCCCATACATTTGATCTTCTCACCCAGTGGTTCTCAAATTTAGCATACATCAGAATTACCTGAAGAACTTAGACCAGAGATTGCTGGGTCCCATCCCCAGAGTTTCTGATTCATATTAAGTCTGGGATGGGACCCAAGAATTTGCATTTCTAACAATCTCCCAGGTGATGAGGAGGAGGATGTCAGCCTGGAGACCAGCCCTTTAGAACCACTGCTCAACCACAGAGAAGAATTCTAGCTTCAACTAGAACCAGGAGTCCAGAGTAAATGATCTCTCCAAAGCTATTTGTTGAGAGTGAACTAATATCATGCTAGTACATCAGTAACTCCAGGGCTACATGCATCATGCAGACAGAGATATTAAAGCTAACCAAGTGCTCCATTCAGAAGCTAGTCTACATTTTATATATTTGCTATGTGTGAAAATCTATTATTTGGGAAAATCATATGATAAACAGGAATGAATAGCCTTGACCCATGAATTTCTCGTTCATTGACTACATGAATTATGTTCCCCCAAGAACCCCAAGAAAGTCTATCTCAGTGTTTCTGAAGGTGAGATCCGCTGTGAGATAATAGAAAATATATATATTGGTCTCTGTCCCTGTTTCCTGGCACAGAGCTCCTAAATCCTTCATAACTTCCTAAGTAATAAGAGTAGTAAGAGCATCGTTTGTTCTAATATTTGATCTGTGACCCTAGTTCCTGACACAGAGTTCCTAAATCCCTTGGAATTTCCTGGGTGACAGTCACTTCTTTTTTTCAAAGAAGTGACTCTTAGTGGGCTCCTGGATAGGGCTGGTCACCAGAAAGACCAAACCATGATTAGAAGGTTGGAATTTTCAGCCCCACCCCCTGTTCTCCAGAGAGGGGAAAGGGGCTGGAAATGGAGTTAATGACAGATCATATCTACATGATGAAGCCTCCATAAAAATCCCAAAAGTACGGGGTTCAGAGAGCTGCCAGGTTGGTGAACCTGGAATATCCATGTAATGGAAGGGTGATGCACCCCAGCTCGATGGGGACAGAAGCTCTTGTGCTCAGGACCCTCCTAGACGTTGCCCTATGTATCTCTTCATTTGGTTGTTCATCTGTAGCCTTTATCATATCCTTTAATAAACTGTTAAACCTAAGTGTTTCCCTGAGTTCTGTGAGCTTTTCTAGCAAACAAGTGAATCCAAAGGGGAGGAGGTTATGGTAACCTCTGATTTGTAGCCAAGCACGACAGAAGCTGTGGGTAACGTGGGGACCTACTACTTGTGACTGGCATCTGAAGTGGGGGTCAGTCTCATGGGACTGAGCCCTTAACCTGTGGGATCTGATGTATCGGAATTGAGTTAGATTGTAGGACACCAAGCTAGTGTCACAAAAAATTGGTTGGTGTGGGAAAAATCCCCACATATTTGGTGATCAGAAGTGTCAGAAGTGAAGTGCTCTGTGTGAGTAGTAAAGGAAAGATATACAGGAGTAGTGTAGGTTTTCTTTATATCCACTCGCATCAGAATCACCAGGGTCTGTTTAGAAATAAAGATTACCAGGCCCCACCCCAGAGGGGAGGCATGAATCTGTATTTTAACAAGCACTTACACAATTACTAATCATTGAGAAGTTTGGAGAGGCCTGGCATGGTATATTGCACTGTCTAATATGGTAGCGACACGTGGCAATTAAAATTAAAAAAAATACAAACTTCAGTTTCTCAGTTGCACTGACCAAGTTTCAAGTGCTCAATAGCCAAATGTGGTTAGTGGCAACCCTACTGGACACTAGATATTTCCATCATTGTAGAACATTCTAGTGGATGATGAAAGCTCTTCATTCATTCAACAGTTCCTGAGTGCTTACTGAGCACCTCAGTTTGAACATCTGACTCTGCCTCCATCTGTCTGGTGTTGGGCAAGTCACTTTCTTTCTCTAAATCTGTTTCCTGATCCACAAAAATGGGAATATAGTCACCCTTTCACATTCACAAGGCTGAATGAGAACCAAACAAGATGAGAGATGTGAAAACACACTGGATTTGAAAACTATATAACCCTATAGATTTCTAGTAAACACAACCTTCTTAAATTTCTTGTTAACTACTTCTTTCTCATGTGGGGGCCTATTACTTATGATTGGCAATGATGGTAGAAACGGAAATTGGTATCACTCTTTTTGTGTCAATTTGGCAATGTCTGTTAAAATTTTATATGTTCAAACTCCTTAACCAGGTAATTATACTTCAAGGAATTTTCTCTACAATTATAATCACTCAGGTGTACAAAGGCAAATTTATGGACTGTTCATTCAGTAATGCTTGTAAAGGCAAATACCTGGAAACAAACTAAATATTTATGAATACCAAAAATATGTTTTATATAATATTCTGGAACAATATACTCTTAACTGTTAACAGTGACAACCTCTTGGAAAAGGGATAGGATAGAAAGAAAACAGAGTAGGTATGCAAGTATTTATAGCTTTATTGAAGTTTAACTGACTTTAATTTGATTACTTTTGACTGATGTATATACCCATGAAACTATCACCACATTCAAGAAGGTGAACATATCCATTACCCCCAAAAGTATCCTCATGTCTCTTTGTAATCATTCCCTCCCTCAACCTACCTTGGCCCCAGGTAACTACTGATCTTCTTTCTGTCACTACAGATTATTTGCATTTTTTAAGTTTTATAGAAGGGAAATCATATAGTATGAATTCTTTTTTGTGTGACTTCTTTCACTCGGCATAACTATTTTGAGAGTCATACACGTTGTTGCATGTTATCAATAATTCTTTCTTTTTTATTTCTGAGTAGTATTCGACTGACTAGATAAATCATAACTTGTATATCTATTCACCGGATGATGGACATTTGGGCTGTTTCTAGTTTTTGACTCTTACAAATAAAGCTGCTATTAACATTTGTGTACAAGTCTTAGTGTATTTCATTTCTCTCAGGTAAATACTTGAGGTGGAATGGCTGGGTCCTATGGTAGGTTTATGTTTAACTTTTTAAGAAAATGCCAAACTGCTTTCCAAAGTGGATGTACCATTCTATACTCCCACTAATAGCATAGGAAAGTTCTAGTTGCTCCACATTCTTGCCAACACTTGGTATGGTGAGCATTTACTTTTTACTTTATGTCAATTCTTTATCTTTGATTTTATTTTTTATTCCAAGCATATTCTTTTTATAATAAATTTATTTATTTCCAAAACATCTTACATCTAGAAACAGTAATCAAGTTATAGCAGCTTTTGCTTCACAGGAGGCTCCTGACTTATCTGATGTCCCTAAGGGTCAGTTTAACCAGGGAGATGATGATAGTACCTGCCTATAGGGCTATTGTTAGGATTAAGTGAGATTACCCATGTAAAGTATTGAGTTCATTGTCTGCCACAAAACACACACTCAAAAATGTTAGCTACTCTTATCATCGTTTTCACTGTTGTCATCATTATGATGATAACTGTATTAGTCTCCCCACTCCCCCCTCCCTTTCCCATTATGACTACTGCTCTATAATGTCTGCCTATTTCTACCTACAAGAAAGGTCACAGTGATGGAAGCACCACTCAGGCAGAACGGTCTCTATATTAAATTATACAAGGGCTCCTTTCTAAAGGAGTTCTGCATATTTAACTAACAAAGAATAAGGACCTGAACTTTTCCGTAATTTCCCAAAATGCTGTCATATTGCACTAAGTCCCTAAAATGAGAAATGTCTGAGCACAGCATGCAAGGCAGAGGTTTCTAGGCGGCCACTGCCAAGGCAGTAGTGCAAGATAAGCAAATCCAACCACTCCCTGGCAGAGAAGGCTGCAAAAAGAGGACAGAATGTGAAGCACCTACAAAGCTCACCTTACTCGTTGGTGAAGAAGATAGAGAACATTACGAAGACTCCCCAATGTTCTGTTTTCTGGGTTTAGTCTGTGACGTCCGAACTACAGAAGAAGAAAAAAGATAAATAATTACTGTTTATTACTGTTTTTTTATCTTATAATTACTGTTTATTACTGCTTTTTTATCTTAATTTCTACCTGCAGAGCAAATTATGTTGGAGTAATGTCTTACAGCATATGGTAACAAAAGTATTCAATTAGTATGCAGATTTCATTAATCCTCTATTTTTCAATGAAATAGTGAACATAAGAAATACTTTTCAATGAAGCAAGCACAAGAATTTTCACTTCACAGAGAATTATGGGGAAAATTCTACCTCAAAAGAAAAAAAACATGCCCATGATTAAGATTGAAATATTGATGTATGGCTTAACTTCCAGTCCTTTACGAAGTTCTGATAAACGCTAATCAATTAGAACCTCTGCAGCCTAAGCTCTTCACATTACATGTTTACACTACAAAAGTGTCAAAATACATTTATTTAATGCTCCTGAATTCCTTTATATTAAGTACCAATTTTAAAATAGTACTTTAGTAAAATACTTTTAACAGAATGTAACAATATTTTTCAACTGAAATACTCCTTTCCCTACCACTCTCATTTTATCTATCAATAAGTCCTTTGAATTTTTTCTCCAAAACAGATCCCAAATCTGTCCACATCTTCTCTCTCCTCTCCACTGCTACCACCTTAGTCTAGGCCATCATCACCTCTCACCTATATTACTGAAAGGGCCTCCTACCTGACTGTCCCCCTTTTCTCTTAGCCTTCTGACCAATTAGTCACACAACAGCCCCAGTAATCTTGAAATTATAAATCAGATCACATTACTCCCTAGTTTAAAGCCCTTCAAAGGCTTCCCACTATGGTGAGAACAGAATCTAGTCCTCACCTATAGCCTCCCTGCTACTTTTCCAATCTCATCCTGAGCCACTCTCCAGCTATAGTGGCCTCCTTTCAGTTCCTAGGATTCACCAAACTCTTAGCACATCATGTTTCCCCTTCCTAGAACGCTCTTTGCATGCTTGGGTCCTTATCTTCCTTTAAGTCTTTTACATATGCCTCCTCAGAGAAGCCTATCCCCAATCATCCTATTTAAGAAGATCCCGACCATGCCTCTTTGAACTAAATCACAGACCGCTGTTCACTTCCTTTATAGCTCTTTTCTCAATTTGTAATTACCTATTTATTTTGTTTATTTACCTAACTTACTCTCTCCTCCATTATTTCCATGAGGGCAGGAATTAAGACTGTTTTATTCACCATGTGTACCCAGCTCCTCACAGAGTGGGTGCTTAACAAATATTTCAATGAATAAATAACTGAATAAATGAAAAACCAGAAATTTTAAAGTGCTTCAGAAAAGCTAAATCATTAATTCCTCCTGAGTAAACTAAAGGAATCCACCTCTGATTTTGTAAAGGATAATCTAAGCAAATCAACTTGAATGAGAAGGAAGCAAACTTATACTTTCCTGAATTCCTTAAAGAACCTTCCTCCACATTTGGGTTTTCTGGGACACTACGTTACCTAAGACAGTGCAAATGTAAACTTCGTTTCAAACCAAATAGGAAATCAACTGATACCCAGCTTGGTTAGCAGAGTATCAAACAAATGGAAAAATAGATGAAGAATGCTCTGGCCTACCAACTGACTACTTTATTGCTTTACTAACATTGCCTTTAACAGAGAAACCATGTATGTTGGAATGTTGTTTGATTAAGCACAGGGAGAACCCCAGCACTCACCCTCAGAATCGACTGTACCGTCTGCAAGGGATAGGTGACTGTGGTGGCAATTGCTTTGGCTACTGCACCAATGATGAACACATCCACAGAAGAAAGCTGGAAAGCAAAGAAAGAAAGAACCATATCAATCCAAACAACAAGAAAGTGTCAGAGATTATTATTTGCTGCTTTCAAAATCAGGGATTACCTTCATTCGTTTCTTTAAAAGCTGCCGCTTTAAACCTTCATAGAACATGAATTGGATGGCAGGATTGAAGACCAACAGCAAGGAGGGAAATGTGCCATTCCATAAAGCCAAGATTCCTTCATCTCGAATGATCTGGTGAAAAGCATCTAAGCAAGAAGAAATCAAGGGCTTTTGATGACAATCCCCTAACTAGAGAAGACAACGTGAATTATGTTCAAATGTACCCAGAACACAAACCATACGGTTCGATCAAGGTTTCCTTCTTGCAATGATATTTTAGGGGCAAGTTCATCAGTTAACTACTTTTTGATAATCATCAGACACTGACAGTCATCAAGTTATTGACAGACCAACTTCAATCACAGGCAACTCTTCCTGACAATCTGGGGTTAGAATGTCAAGTTTTCCTAAGTACTGGTCAACACCACGGGGAACTCTATATTACAGAGAATTGTGAACTGATAGCCATGTGTTTCACAATATAGTCCAGTATTACAAAAGATAAGATAGTTCCCTGGAGTCTATTATATGAGATTCAACTTATAAGAAAACCAATGTTCTCATTCCTAAGATGAAAACATGGGAAAGGAGGCCCTGGCAATTAAGCTCAAAGATATCAGATACTAAACTGGTATCTTTAGGGCCGGCCCCGTGGCTTAGCGGTTAAGTGCACGCGCTCCGCTACTGGCGGCCCGGGTTCGGATCCCGGGTGCACACCGAGGCACTGCTTCTCTGGCCATGCTGCGGCCATGTCCCACATACAGCAACTAGAAGGATGTGCAGCTATGACAGACAACTATCTACTGGGGCTTTGGGGGAAAAAAATAAATAAAATTATTTAAAAATAAATAAATAAATAAATAAACTGGTATCTTTATCCAGACAACACTAGAAAAAAAAAGTGTATTCACTCCCCTCCCACCTATACTCCATAGGAGCAGTTTACATCTCTACCCCTTGTCTTTGGCCTTGGCCTCACGACGCGCTTTGGCCAAGAGGATATTGGCAGACAAGATGCAAATAGGGGCTTGAAATAAGCTCGTATGATTGGGTCTGTGCTCTTGTGCTTTTGCCATCACCAAGAGAAGAATATGCTTAGGCTGGTGCCCAGAAGAAGATGAGAGACACGTGGAGCTGAGACTCCCAGGCTGGGGTCAGCCTAGATGCATCAAATCCCTGTCAACCCACAGACACATGGGCAAAACTAATGCTTGCTATTGGACATTGAGATTTGAGATTGTCTTTTATGTAGCATTATCGTGGCAATAAATTCCAGATACAAAGAGAAAAGAAAAGCCTTAAATAGGAACTCACCCAAGAGACACTTACCAATAATACCTTTGTAGTTGGTTGGTACAATATCTTCATTCCTAAATTTTGCCCCTTGCAGCTTTAGTCTGGTGTTTACTACCCAGAGTGGAGTTGTTAGCAACACATTCACCACTCCTTTAAAAAAAAAAGAGGGAGACACAAAGGGAAAGCAAAATGCAATCTTTTAAGCTTTGCTATCTTGTTAAAGCTACACATCAATGTTCCATATATACCTCTCCCACTGACCTACTTGGAGACCTGAGGTAAGGTGTCTCTCTGCGACAGGGTACAACACAAGCCACTACTGTTAGAAGCAATTCAGAAGCCTTGTTGATAGCAAAATGGCTGGCAGCAGTCTCTCTCCACAAGAGAAGAGTAATGAGTGTCCTCATTTGTATAACAGGAGGCAATCTATTTGTCAATTTATATAGCATACAAAGTAGCAATTTGATATAGTTTTAAATACAATTTTTAAATAACAGCTTTAAGAGAGGGGAAGTGGCTTATTGATCACATGCTAAGTCCATGACAGTATCAGATAAAACACACAATTTACAACTCTCATATAAATAGCTCACGTGGTTTTAAGTGAGTATGGATCTGGTACAATGGGTGATAGGTGGGAGACAGTTGTGATATTTGAAAGTGCTTCCACAGGGACTAGAGGCTCGTAGAAGAGTTCCTCATCACTTAGGGAATTAGGACAGGCAGGCAGCAAGCAGTAGTTACGCACTGTCACAAAACACCTCAAACAGCTTCACAAGCATCATGATCCTTACAAGCTTAAGGACGGGGATCTTGGTCCCCCAAGGTTGCCTTAGAGTGGAACAATACAATGAGCCAGGTGCTTCTTTTTTGAAAACACATGATCCCAATTTAACACCATCTTGAGATATTAAAATATTCCTCATCAGTCCTGAAATGATTAAAACAAACAAACAAACAAAAAACCAGACAGAGTTGTAACAAAGTGCCTGACACACAGGGTATACCTTATAAATATTTGTTAAATAAATATTGAACAAACGAACCAATGAACAAACTCAGCAAACCACCACACATCAAAGTATCTGGCTCTAGCCATGCTCTGAAGAACCAAGAGGCACAATCCTAAGGAAGAGAAATCTTTTCTAAAAGTCATTTAAACACAGAAGGAGAAAGAATGTCTCGATTTAAGGTACCTTAAAACATACTATACAGAAAACACAGTCTAGCCAAGGATAAGCTTGGTAAAATAGCCAAGAGATTAAAATTCTATTTTTTCATTTGTTGCACAGTTGCAAAGGTAAGATACTTTGCTATGCCTCTCTTAGGAACATTAATGACAAAACATTTCTCAAAATAAAAGACATTATCAACTAATTTTATGAGCTGTATTTGTTATATTTTTATAGAGTCATATAATACCAAGAAGTCATCTTTAGTTATGACTGAATATATTCATACAATGTCACTTAGGCATTGATCATAATCTGATAAAGTCTTACCTAGAGACTCTTGCTAGTCTCATGTTTAAAAAGTGCCAGTGCCCAAGAGGCCAAGATAGAATAATATCAATACAAGCCCATTTGCCTAGACTTTATTCCCATTTTAATGCAAGGTATACATCACTTAGAAAAATCAACAGCCAGAAAAATCAGACTAGAAAGTGCTACTGAGCAGTCCACTGCATTTTTTTTTAAGATAAAGAAAAGAAGAGAGCTTAGAACCAGAGATCACAAGCTTCTGTGGATACTGTAAACAGGCACAGTGTATATACCTTTCTAAACAAATGAAACAGACTGAACATTAAATAAATCCTTTAGAAACTGAAATTCCCTTCATGTTCTATTTAAGAGGTAGGCACACACAAAACATTTCAGAGGTAATGCAGCCAAGATTAAGATTTAACCATTATTTAAAATTCTGTTTTCATAATCCCCATTATTAACATGAGCTGAAAGACTGAGAAGACTCTCAGGACAATCTCAAGTACAAAAATGTACTACATCATTTAAAGAACAGGGTATAAAGTCCTTGTAAAAACATTTTGTATTTCAAAGCTTTTTATTTGAGAAGTTTAAGTACTTTGTTCATCCTCTAAGCCAAAATAGATAGAGAGGTATTTTTTAACCACTATAATTTTATGAGTTCTGGGAAAAGACACTCAAAATACTTGAGGATCCAAAACTTTAGTAAAAACTTGTAACCTATATAAGTAAGCAAAGGAAAACATTCCACAGAGGAAAAACAAGCTATAAACGGTCATGATGAGCGATTTCAAAATCTTACTAACGCACGACGGATATGGCTGAAGGATAAAGAAAGCTGTCTGCTTATTTATGAGCCTGTGTAGAAAATTCTTCTGCCAGTTCCAAGCTGTGGCTGTTACTTTGGCTCTAAGATGGGAATACTAATACTTTATCTACTCAAGGACAGGAAATTGTTTTTCTTCCAATTTGAATAATTCTATTTTCTTTCTCTTTTCTTCTTTTGTAAAAAATCATTTACAAGAAAACAGAACCAAAATTAAGAGATGAAGAACAGTTACTGAACACACTCACTAAAATTATTCACTGATTCAAAGAAGAATTGGAACATAGCTATTTACTTTTGAAATCCTGAAAACAAATAGTTTTATCAGTAGTGAGTTGTAGTATGCTAACCGGGTATGCACTTCTGGGAAATATGTGCAACGACCACTGATACAAGAAAAAGGCAGATCAAGGCCACAAAACTAACCATTTGGCTCCCTATGAAGGAATGCAACTTGATACACAACAGGAACAAATCTGCCTTACCAGATTTAAGGCCTAAGGGCAGTAAATTAATTTGAACTGTCACAATAATAACACCATTGGCATTCAAAAAGAGTTACTGGTAAAAAAATCCCAATTTCATAAAAATGGCAAGTATCTTCTTAAGTTATCTGTAAGATTCTGTTTCTAAATTCTTCCACAAGGTATTAAGCTATTTGTGCTTTTTTCTGTGAAAATACAATAAATAATAATAAATTTCTAAGTTTCAAGCAGAACCTGAATAACAATAATGCTGCTCTTAGTTCTCCTTGGAGATAATGAAACTTATTTCAACAGAGATAATACAATGACAAGGCTGACAGCAGGAAGAGAAAAAGCTAATTATTATAAAAGCTAATTATTGTAAGAATGTGTAGATACTAAGATATAAAAACATGTTATGAGTAGAAGTTTAAAACTCACAAAAGTAACTTCCAAGGGATTTCCTACCCTCAGAAAAGAGAGGACCCATAATCAGAAAATCTCAAAACTATAAAGGACGGTAAAATTCATTTGACCAAGAGTCTCTCAACTGTGACACTACTGACATTTTGGGCTGGATACTTCTGTTTGGGGTGGAGCAGGAAGGGGTGCTATTGTGCTGGATGTTCAGCAGTATCCCTGGTCTCTACCCAGTATATGCTAGTAGCACCTCCCAGCTGTGACAACCAAAACTATCTCCAGATATTACCATACATTCCCTGTGGGTCAAAATCAGCCTCAGTTGAGAACCACTGATCTAACCCAATCACTAAGTTATCATTCACTTTATTTTTGAAAATCTCAAAAGACAGAAATTCACTCTCACTCCAATGGCCTATTTTTTCCAAGAGCTGTTAGAAATTTTATTTTTATTGATATTAACTTTACCTTCTAAAGCAACTGGAAAAATATATGAAATTAGCTAGTAGATGTTTGTTTTTTTTTGTTTTGTTTTGGTAAGGAAGATTAGCCCTGAGCTAACACCTGTTGCCAATCCTCCTCTTTTTTTGCTGAGGAAGACTGACCCTGGGCTAACATCCATGCCCATCTTCCTCTACTTTATACGTGGGATGCCTGCCATGGCATGGCTTGATAAGTAGTGCGTAGGTCCGTGCCCAGGATCTGAACCTGTGAATCTTGAGCCGCCGAAGCAGAGCACGCGAACTTAACCACTACGCCACCAAGCCGGCCCCAGCTGGTAGATGTTTTTTACCTGAGGTATATATTAGCAATTCTGAAATGACTTTATGTGTATTTTAGGATAAGTAAATATACTGTGATCCTGGCCCAATTCCTTTGGGTAATATAGAACAAGTATAGTCCCTCTTCCACAAGTCATTTGTCCATGGTCTGCTCATCAAATATATACTGTGTCTAGTATGTGATAAGCCCTGTTCCAGGTGCTGACGATACAGCAGTAAATAAAAATGAAAATCCCTGTCCTCAGGAAGCTTACACTCTAATGGTGTAAGACAAAGTAAATAAGTAAAATACATAGTATGTTAGAGGATAAGAGTTAAGGAGAAAATTTAAGCAGAGGAGACAGAGTATTGGGAGTAGAAGGGGGTACTATTTTAGATATTGTGGCCATTTAGGGAAAGACCTTAAAGGAGGTGACGGAGTGAACCATGCAGTTACCAGGCAGAGGGAACAGCAGGTACAGGCCCTGAGGCAGAGGTATGCCAGGAGTGTTCCGGAAGATGAGGCCAGTGTGACGGCAGTGGTGTAACTGAAGAGAAGAATAGGAGGGCGAGGTCATACAGGCCTTTGTAGGACAAGGTGAGAACTCGAGCTTTCACTCTGAATGAGATGGGAAGCAACTGGAGGGCTTTGAACAGAGAAATAATATGATCTCACTTATGTTTTAACAAGAACACAGATTGAAGGGGACAAAGGAGGAAGCAGGACATCAGTTAGGAGGCTCAGAAGATAATCCAGGCAAGATTTGATGGTGATTTGGACTTGGGTGGTAATGCAGACAAGTGGTTGAATTCCAGATACCATATGAAGAAAGAGGCAATAGGATGTGCTCATAGATTGGAGGCAGGGTCAGAGAGAGAGAGAGTCAATTCAGGATTTTTGGTAGGGCAACTAGAAGACTAGAGTTGCCACTTAGTAAGATGGAGATTATAGGAGGAGCAGTCCTTTAAATTTAATTCATTTGTTCAATATTTATGTATGTATGTATTTATTTTTTTAACATGTTTATTTATTTATTTTTTTTGTGAGGAAGATCAGCCCCGAGCTAACATCCGTGCCAATCCTCCTCTTTTTGCTGAGGAAGACTGGCCCTGGGCTAACATCCGTGCCCATCTTCCTCCACTTTATATGGGACGCAGCCACAGCATGGCCTGACAAGTGGTGCATCGGTGCACG